GGTGGGGGATGTGGGTGTTGGTCAAGCACGCAGACCTACTCCATCAGAACCGTCTCGAGGTAGTAGTTGTCCAGCTATTTAGGTCCAAACGAACCGATAGAGCAGCTAGAGATGTTCCTCAAATGGGGCAGCGCCAAATGGGCAGTTCAGGCACTCATCACCGGGTCAATAATCAGGATCAGGAATCAGGCCTGACTAGGGTAATCCATTTAAAACGTCAATTCAAGAGCAAAGTACGGGGTTATACTGTGAACAGAAGAGAGGATGGTTGCAAACGAATGAAACTGATATCGTAATGATTCCTCATCGATTCGGTAAAATACAGCACAGTGTACATAAATGTTTATTAGTTGTTTATCAGTTGTGAAATTCTTCGGTGCGTTTGGGTCAGCTTTGCGCCATAGAGCGCGATTTGTCGTAGACATCGAGGAATGCCTCTTTGCAGTTATACTTTACTCGAAGCCATTCATAGAGGGATGAATCGAACATCTGCCAGAACTCCGAACGGCTCATTTCCGTGCCGTCGTGCACCACTGACACTCTGAACAGAATGATATCATGCACGTTCCGATAATCGTTACCGGATTACCCTGTACCTTACCCATTCACATATCGCACGAATTCTTCTATGCGCCGGATGCCGGCCTTAAGGTTGACGTCCGATCTCCCGGGAAGTCCTGAACATTCAGACGTTGACGAGATGTTACATCCGTCGACGTAAAATTTATAAAATTCAAAGTATAATGGCATTCTGACGACCGACTCCCCACCGTAGACACCCACATTGACGAATAGTACATTTCTCCCGGATCGCTGACGAATCATTCCCGGACATGACGGTTGATTGTACGGGGACAGCCATAGTGGATAGACCTGCAGAACAAAATTGGTATTGTACGCTCTTCTGAGAACATTTGTAAAAAGATGAAGCCAAGATGCTGCCCTTTAACAGTTCTCCCAATCTCATTCTTCATGCCAACTGTTTATCAGCGACAGCTTTGGGCGGTAGCTTATGATCCTACAGCTTGGTCAAACAATGAGATGGGAGCACTTCACGGTAGTGGAATATTGGCCACCGGGTGGGAGATGACAAAATTACGTCAGAGGCAGTCCAGAACCAAGGCATACGAGAAGACTCGATCAGCTCCCACCATAACAGGTTTATTAAGAGCTGTCTCATCGCGGCACGCCTTTTGTGGCCATCTACGGTCACTCATAGTGATTAGCTACTTTTCAGAAGTGCCTGTTCACTCTCTTTTACACTAAGGAAGGGCTAATCTGATCAGAGATAGAGCGATGACCGGCTCTGCCACTGTATAATTGGCATGTGGATCGATTATAAGACCACAATGCTCCAGCCAGTCGAGCCTATTGGCCCGATTTTCCTATTTAATACGAGAGCTGTGCGGAGGTGGTACTGTGTCAGGTGACGTACTAGTATCCGCGCATAGTCTTGGGATCGAATTCCGCTAGTCGTAGTATAGGCCATATACGCATTCGATGCCCCACCACAGTTCTCAACAGCCGCCGAAGTCGGAGGCACATCTCAAAAATGGGATCGACTGCTGTCAAAAGACCGCCCCTCATCCTTCATCTTTCAGGTGTGTAGGGATAGTTGACAGAGATAGTTTGATAAGTGTCGTGAGCCGAGGAATCGTAGTGAACCCAAATTCGTTTCAGAAACTAAATTATTCATCATCTGTGTAGTCATCGTATATGTAGCAGATGTTGAAAGTTCTTTGAATAACCGCCAAGATCAAGGGTTTAGTATAAATACGTGGCAACTGCTCAGAAGTGAGCGAACAGTGAGCGAACAGGGCCAAAAACTTTTCGATTTTTTTTCAGGTTTCCAGTAACTTGGAACGAACCTCTAGCTCCTTATCACAGGTGTCAATAGCTTCAGCGAGGTGTTCCATGGGAACGAGAAAATCTTTCCGTACACGGTTTTTGTCCAATCTCGACCTCATTATCCTGGGGCTGAGCAACTGGAACAGCTCGCCTTGAGAACTACTTTTCTGAGAAAGTCCAGTGTATGACAGGTCTTACCTCAACCAGGTCGAGGTTAGGCGGACACATCCATCCAAAGAACCATCGAAATAGGAAATTATTACCAAATGGAATGAAATCCTGGAAGATAAGGCTGTGAATTAAATAAAATAGCTGATAATATGAGTACGAGTAAGGAAAATATGGAAAACGGCCTATGTGAGTAGAATATAATAGAGAGATATATAGTATGTAGTAATTCACAATATGATATAATTTGGATTAATGAAAGACAAGTAAGATCTCAAAACAAAGGCATGTAAAGCGGAGGTGAATACTAAATAGTAAGATACCATTAGAGATTATAGACCAGGGTAACCCAGCTGCCCTTACCTTAAGCTCCCAATAAAGACTCCTCGAATGGCGATGATAGAAATCTCGCAGAGAGACGAATTCTGTGTATTCCTGCTGAAAATGGTTGATTGAAGTTATAGCACTTCTATTTAAAAACCTAAAAAACAGATCGAACAAATAGAAAGGAGGTGACTGAGCCGTTTTCCAGCTTAACAACACCCATGTAGAGCATTGGGGACCACAGATTTATACCAGTGGGAAGTCTTGAAAACGACTTCTAACATAAGCTGTCCCTCTAATATAAGTATTCTTTTTGGAAAATGAGGAACGGAACCTTAAAACTCTCCAGGACTGCTCAATGTAAATGAAATCTACAAACAATGGGCAGTTTCAGAAGTTAAACGGCCATACGGAAAGAATGGATAACCAGAAAAGCATTCTATTCACCGTTTAACCCTGTAATCACTAAAGGACTCCATAGGTCGCCACGATGGGTCAACGAAATAAAACTGCGTTCAAGGATTAGAGTCGGAAGCATGGCGCGAACCTACTTCTTTTTTGTGCATAAAATTAGAATTTTCCACTAAGACCAACCTTAGTCGAAGTGATTACTTTTTGTACATGAGTATAGAACCATGGTTTGTACCATCTGCCTAGTTGATTAGCGGCTCCCCAATTCTT